TGTTTTGTTGATTACAAACAACCTATTTATCGCCCCAATGGGAAACGTTAGTTTTATATTATTTTAGTTCAAAGTTTGATAGATTAGCAGTATTTTATATTGTGATTAATATATGTTGATTTTAACTTGTAAACAAATAACATCCATATAAATGTAATATAAACAAAAAAAAATCGGCCAAACATTTTAAGAGTGAGTTTTTAATAACCTTATTTTGATTTTAAATAACAAAATATGGATCCATCTGATAATGAGTGTGTATATGTTTTATTTAGTTTGTTTTTTATAAACTCTCACTTACTTGAAAACAACAAAAACTATAATTACACACTTCATTAAATCAGACTGTATATATAATTAAATTAAATTTCACTTGTTATCAGATAAATCTTAATTATATTTCGTATTGTTTGTTATTAGATTAAAACAAATTTGGTAGTTTTGATTTTTGTGGACAGTTTATTGTTGTCAAAATTTATCTCATAACTTTTAAATAATTTTTCTTTCCCATTACTTTTCAATGAATTTTTAACATTAAGAATTTTTTATTAACATAATAACAAAAAGTCATATATTAATAAGAGTTATAGTTCAATTTTACTATGGTTGAATTATATTTTTTACCACTTGACCCAATCTCGGTTTAAGTTATACTTGTCACACATCAATACTTTACTTTATTATTTATTTTCAAGTAATATTTTATTATTTTAAAACATTTGTTTCCTTATATGAAAATATTGAACGAACAATGTAATTGATCAATTATACCCAAACGATTTCTTTTTCTTTTATACTTTAATCTTTGATTTTGTTTCCTTTCTGTTTTTTTCTGTTTCACATTTATAATATAATAATATTATAAATAGAAGCGCTCATACCTCTATAATATGTTGTATTGACTATTATTTATGCCGTATAAGCGCTATTGATTTGTTTTGATGATTGTTTTATTTTGATAGTCGATTTTTATTTAAACAACAAAGAGGGACTCTTTTATTGATTAAAAGAGTCACTTTGGCCATGGCTATTTTACAGGATATATATTGTTCAATTACATTGGTTGCCGACTACGAACAAGCCGGCGGCTATATGCATGATTACATTCTATGTGGTTAATAAATTATATGTTGAAACAAATAGAAACAACCTGTGTGTCCATAATCATAATAATTTTATGACCAAATGGGGATGGGCGCCTTGTGCACTTTTTGGTAATAATAAAAGGTAAAAAGTGTGTGTTTTTGTCAATTCAGTTTGTAGTTTTGTGACACCTTTTTTGCTTTTGGTTGTGATAACTTTATGGTCTCAATATGTTGCACATATAATACATTAACTGTCGAACCCTTATCACATATGACTACTGGACTTTTTTTTCATTTTTGTGTGTTTTATAACAACACCATTGTTACTGTTAATTGCAATTTGTATAATTCAATTATGTGTATTTTTAAAGAATGTACATACAGATTACAAGCTTTTAAAACAATAGCTTGAATAGTCCAGGAATTCCCCATTTTGGTCAAACGCGACATTTTTTCGATAAATTACAATATTCAATCAACTGCTTCTGGCCATGTTCAATCAATGTGTTTAATTATCAAATTTTCGCTTTATATATTGGTTATTTATTCTATTTTTAAATTTTGTATGTATTATTAACAAAAAACACAATAATATATTAATACATTGTTGGAATACAAGCAAATTGGATCTTTTTATACAATCTATTGACTTTTTTGACTTGTATAATATATTCAACGTATACAATCCGTATTATTATTGTTTGAAATAATAGCAAAGAATTGTTAAATTAGAATTGTACTTTCGATGCTAATATTTAAAAATAATCGAAACAACGCCACCGTGTCTTTATTTTCTTCGTTGTTTGTTTATCAATATTACAATTTTATTTGAATAAATAATTTAATGTATTTTTTTTAAATAATTATTGAAAAAAAAACGATGGTTATATTTTAAAAGTTACATTTTTTGCTTCGTTCAAAATATATTTATATTGGTGATATTGTCGTTGTTGCAATTGAATTTAATATTTAAGTTATTTAAAATATCTTTATAAGTTTTTAATTTTAACTAACAAAATACATATTATTTTAATTACTATTATGTAATTATAATTTTTTATTTATTTTTGAATCCAAAAAACTGTTATTCAAAAAGTCAAAAAATTAAAAAATGATAAAAAATAAATATTAAACAAATTTAAAAAAATTGCTATAATAATAATTATTAACTTTTGTTGTACAAACGAAAACAATCTTATTTACGTATTTTCAATATTTATAGCAAGTTACACGACGAACACAGTTTTATATTTTAATTTTATTTTTAAATTCCACAATTATTATATTTTAAAAATTTATTGAGTTCTATTTTCAAGGAAATTGGTTTACCAATGAATAATTTTGGTGGTTGAATTATTATTTTTATAATTGGTTGCAGTTTGGTTTGTTGTAAGATTGTTCTAAACATAAGCTATTTATTTGTTTTAATTCTTTCCTGTTGTTGTATTATTGTTTGTGTACTTTTGCCAATAAATTGATTTTATTGGTTATTAATTATTAAATAATAAATGTTATTCAATTTATTAATTATTTTTTTGATTGTAAATTTTTTTAATGAAAAATAATAACAAAAAAAATATTTTTTTTGTCATTACTTTCCAACACTATTTATTGATATTGTTAATAATTACTTTTGAAAAAAAAATATCTCAAAATGATGTTTTACAAAGTAAATGTTTTGTATCCAGTTAATTTCGACAAAGTTTATCGACGCAAACAATTTCAATTTTGTTTTAATAACTATGTGTTACACTTAACCAAACAGAATAATATTTGGTTGTTATATTCACACCACAAAAACAATAGAATAACAAGATTTGGAGTTGGTGTGTATTTTATTTTGACTTTACGATGTCTATAAACATTTCCACAACTGTTTTTTTAATTGGAAATAACACATCCAGTGGATGTGAAAATATTTCGTCGATTCAACTAACCAAAAACGTTAAAATTTTTGGGATTTAAAACGTTTCATATGTGTTCACTTTTACAAGAAAAAATTCTAAAACTAGTAAAAATCACCGAAATACTTTTTTATCAAGTGCTATAAATTTCACGTGTTGACCTTCCAGATGATTTAAATGAAATTGGAGAAGAGGCTTTTTTAATTGTAACTTTTTTCAATTAATAAGAATTCATTGTAAAATTTTTTAAATTCGAATTTTCGCGTTTGTATATAAAACACATTTACAATGACATATTTATATTCAAATTTACAAAATATAATATTGGTTGAATTTATTTACCAATGATTATATTGTTTGTTATTAAAAATACGACAAACTATTTGGGTAAACTAAAAATTAGAAGTACAACAGCCACTCTAAATTAAAAAATACGACAAGAAAAAAAGGTGTGCATTTTATACAATTACATTTACATCTAAAATAAAATGTTATTATATATAGTTTGAAAGTTATTATATCACTCAGCATGATATTTAAAACATGACAGAACATAGTTAATAACGAACATATTCATTGTTTAGTATGAATGTGTAGCATATAACGATAAAACCAAAAATATTTGCAATCAAATATTTTTAACATTTATATTTGAAAATCACACATTATGGCAATAAATTAATAATTCTAATAAACATAATAGAGTTTCTTAACAGAACTACTTTTTGAATAACTCAGTTAAAAAGTTGGACGTAACAACTAAAGAGTCAAAGTATCACAAATATTTAAAAATCAAATCTAAAATATCAAATATATTTATTGTAATCAATTCGGCAAAATACAGAAAATGTTAAATAATAAAATAAAGAATATAGAAGTTAATAAACAAAACAAGAAGAACACTTTAATGTCATTTAAAATATCAAATCGGGAAAATTATAAGTAAAATTGTCTGTTAAATTTTATTACTCATTCAATGGGAGAAACACCATTAAAAGGGAAACCAATAAACTTTAAACCAATCAAGAGTATGTCAATCAAAGAGCGTCTTGCACACAACAAATGAAGATTATTTTTCAGGGATCATCAGGACTCAAAGCACTCAAAAAAGTACCAAACAAAAAAGCACTCAAAAAACAGCCACCGAGTTCGTTTATACTACTAATATTATTGTTAATGGTATTATAGAGGATATTAGAGTAACATAAAGTAAGGTAAACCTACCACCACC